CCAGTGCTAAACCTACAAAAGGTTTCGCGGGTCCATATCGTACCTTTAGAGATACAGTAAAGTACCACCGAACCATAAAGGTTTCGTATGGTACCTTTATTTTTTCCAGTGTAGTGGAGGGTACTCAGAAAATGTCGATTACTCATGTTAAAATCGTGGATGAGTTTTGATTTTGCATCTTCATTTTGTAGGTATTTGTTTGTCCATACCGGGAGATCGTTTGCTAGTTTTGCACCGAGTGCTAATAACGAAGGGCAAAGTAAGGTTTTGTCGTTCAATATATTTTGTTTAACTAAGATCGAGATCACTTCCACCATTACTTGATAAATTGGAGAGATAAATTGACTGATGAAATCATGTTGAAATGTAAGGGGCAGGCAATTCGAACTTTCAGTAAAATTTTTCCCCGGCTTTTTTGCATCATTGGATAGAGCTTGAGCTGCTGATCGTGGAAAACTACTTTTTAGCCCTAGTAAATGCTTCCTTTCAGTCGAAAAATATGAAATACTCGAAAAGTGTCGTTTTTCGAGAAAAACACATTCTTTCTCGAAATGTCTAAAATTTTCCAGTTTCTTCTTCTTGCAAGCTTCTAAAAATGTATTTTTCAGATTCAGCATCAAAAACTGAATATAATAAAGTTCGGAAATCGACTTTAGACCCCAAACCCTAGTATTTGTGGATCTTCGAATCGCATCGAGTGCACTACTTATTTGGTCGATTTTGTAAACCCATCAAGTTTTTCTACTTAAGTGATGAAGACAAACATCTGATCTCATTTGACTTATCATATCATCAGTTACAAAAGTATGCATGGGTTTTTCTTCTTTTCTTTCCTGTGTTGAGAAAAACCGTTTGTACTGGTATCATAGGACGAGGGAGAAGGTCATTTTTAAATAAAACTACTATTTTTAATTCAAATCAAGTGAAAATTTATTTACTTTGATACAAAGTGATAGCGAATCGAATGGGCATACTCTGAGATCTCTAGAGGATCTTGAAAGGGTCTCTGGGAAATCATCCCGGGAAATAATATAGTTTTGTAATATTAATCGATATTTTATGATCTTTAATGAATAGATTAATCACTCTTCATGCTTGATTATATAATATGAAAGGAGACATGCAGATTAAAAGTATTCAAATGGATAAAATATATTCATTAAGCTTCGTTTATGTTTTTATTTGATATTCTACGATGTGATTGAACTGACGTTTTGAAAAGTTGACTAAAGAACAGTTTTAATACATTAGCATATGTTTGACCTTGAGAATATGCTTCGATTGAACGCCAAAAACGCCGAAATAATTTTAATGCAATGTTTCGTTCGAAAAAATGTATACGAGAATGCACTATTAATTCGATCATTTTTTCAAAACTTTGATCTGTACATGAACGAACAAATGCCTTTTGATTGCACCAAAGATCTTCAATTGCGTTTAGTTCACAATGATATTTAGGGCAGCATATAATTTTAACATTATATTTGCTCGCCAGCATCTCAAGTTTTGTAACCTATAGAATAGAGTAGATTATATAAAACAAAATAGGTTTAAAAATATGAAACGACTCTGACTCACATTCTAAAAAGCTCGATGTTCGGAAAGCAATTTACGAATTTCATCTAATTTAGCTTTAGGTGGTAATTGTACACCCAATTCTTTAGCTAGTTCAGCTAAACCTTTTGATTGATCTTTGTATGGTCCCTGTTTAAAATAACAATCAATAACTTTTTTTGCACCATTTTCATCGACATATTCAATCTGTTCAACTGGACAACGAGTGCCAATAGTTTTACCAAATTCTTATAATGAATATGCTTTAGTAGTGTGGGTTCTTGCATTGTCGACAATGATTTCTATTCGATGATGCTTGTATTCCTGTTTAAATTCTAACAGTTGAAATAATCTTTCAAACTGTTCCAGGATCGTATCGTTATCGAAATATGCATCTGTTCCAATATTTATACTAGCTGTTGCTGTTCGACTAAGATAATTAACATCATTATCTGCGCTTAATGATTTATATTTTGCAACTGCACGTTGCCATTGATCTTCACTGAGTTCAAAAAGTGGCCCACTAGGATGTTGAACAAGAAAATCAGACACCATATGACTTCGACCACGTCCTTTCGAGAAAAACGGTATATTCTCTTTGAAAAACCATTGTTTTATGCTAACTGCACCACTTCTAAACGTTGATTCGTCATGAACTAGTCAAGATAAATACAAACAAAATAGCATAATAGAAATTATATTTAAAAACTTTTGTTGTTGTGCTTACATATAAGTATTCAAGGAGGATTTTGGGTGGGGATATTCCGCATAGGTGTGTCACCATCAGTAACCGTGTAATCAAAATCTTTGTGTCGTAAAATAATTAACAAATTCGTTACGATGTTTCACAACATCGTCTCTTTCATGCCATTCAAAATATGGACGTTGTGAATTCGCGTCAAATTTAGCCCCCCATCTACGGAGATCCAGACGACAACTTCTTTCCGATCTTATCAAATCATCTCCAATTTGTTTTTTAATTTCCGTTAATTCATAATATTTTGCGTCAATGAACTGAGTCAGGTCTGCTGCTTTGAAATCTGCTGATTTTTGTGAACACGCTTGAACAACGAATGCTCTAGCATCTGCCTCAATCTCGGGAAATGTATCATAAAAGGAATCCGTTTGTTTGCCACCACGTAAATCACTTGAAAACTCTTGATAATCACCTTTGATAAACACTGTTGCCCATTTATGAGAAGTTTTCGCGGTCGTAAAACCGATATTTTTTAAAAATTCATCAGCATCTTCCCATTTTATGTTGAAGTAACGTAATGACATGTAGAGCAAAGTGCTAATATGTTTTATGTCACATTTCGACTTGCACATTTCAGCAAGATCACCAATGTTGGTTAATGAAAGTTTTTCGTTGAAAGTCAATTCTTGATCATCAATTTCCATGGAATATTCATCACCTGATGAATCATCTGGATCTGAAATCTTCGTATTTGACCACCGATGAGTTGATGCAACTTGAGAATGGCTTCTTCGTTTACTTCGTGTAGGCATAGGTGTTGCAATTAATAATTGTTGCTTACTACTTCGACTGTTTATTCATGGAAAATCGCTGACTATATATAGGATCTCTAATGCACGAGCAGCGGAATTATTCACAGAGATAACAAGAGAAAAATCCATTGAATAGCACAGTGGAGAAAGAAAAACACATCTTTGAGGAATGTCCATCGCGTTACCGAAATAGAGCGCTTAGGGTAAATCCGGACAGACACAATACATATGAGAAGATTTCACATAGAGATGGAAAGGAGAAGATGAAACATATGTGATATACAGGAATAGAAAAATCCAAATGTATGTGACGTGTGAAAGAAGAAACGAATAAAAGAGAACGAAAGAAAAATATCATGTGATATATATTTATGTTATGGATACAGCGAACGAATATCTTCTTTGTTCGCTTAAAATAAGAAACTAATTTAGTTCAGCTTAGTTGAATTATTGTAATGAAAACTTTGATCGAACCGAAGTTCTATCCAGTTTTCTTTAAGCTTCTTCTAATATGAAAAGATCTATCTCGCTGTATTCTTTTTTGCATAAACATTCTATATAAATAACATAACATCCATGATAAAACCTTTAGATTTATGCCATCATAATATCAACACTTCTCCTAGATAAGATAAAAACTTACTTTTCCATTTCCTGAACAGTTGCACGATATCTCATAAAAAACTGGTTAAAAAAAGTTATATTTATTGTTTTTCAGCGTGGGGAACATTTATTGCTTTATAAATTTTTTAGAATCATGAATCTGTACATATTATAGGTTGATTTTGTCATTTAGCATGACCTTAAAGCTTTAAACCGTCACCCAAAAAAACCCATATAGATACTCCACACTGTGTATATTGATAGATCACAGTCTCAGGTTTTTATGTGACACGTTATTGATACTTAATTAGCTTCCCAGCTTGTAGCCCTATATTCCTTTGTAGCTCTTTTAAAATTATCCCCTTATCGCCCTACTCCCTTCACTATTTATGAGTATCCCCATATAGCAGCTTCTACGAGACTATGGGATACCACCGTGGAACTATCCTGGAGGACCTATAATTCTCCCTATTTGATGAATCATGGACATCTAAGCATATCTCAATAGAATAGCCCTCGAGAATCTATAGGTGCCTGTATACAACCGTCTTTGAGGAGCTACTATTACTCTTACAGGATGACCCTTGAGGATCTATCGGGATATCTTTATGATAGCTTTTCAGGACTCTTGAATGACCCTTTATAATACATCTCCAGGAATAGACTTGTAGCGAACCCGGTTACGTGCCGAAATTTCTGAGTTCGGTCATGTCCGGGGTTCGGTTATTGAGAGTACTTTGGAGTCCTCAAGTCCTACTATTGGAAGCTACCCCTGGATGCTCAAGTTCAACGATTGGAAAGCAGCCTTCGATACGCAAGAGCTAATATAGGCGGTACTATTGGGTCGTCAAATCTATCATTGGTCCAAACATACCCACCTCTTGCCTTTACAAAAAGACAGAAAAACCCTGCTGAAATCTGATTAGTCCGTTTACTGGGTCAATAAAATGGTGAGTTTTTATTTCTCAGCGTTGGCATGCGTGAAGACCCATCCATATACCCATCAATCGATAGAGCATCTTCGATAACCATATGCACGGCTCGAACATGCTCATATCTTGTCCTTACACTAAGAAAGAAAAGCCCTGCCGAAATCTGATTGGTCCACTTTAGGAGTTCCTATTTCTCAGCGTTAGAATGGGTGGGAACCTATACATATACCAATCAATGGATAGAGCATCCTCGATAAATTTAGGATCGACTCGAACATAGCCAGGTGTTGTCCTGATAATAAGGGAGAAAAGCCCTCCTAAAATCTGATTGGTTCATATTTTGTACCATTTAAATAGCAAGTTTGTACTTGAGGGCGCAAGAGTGCATGAGATTAGTAGAACTTGATGACCCAATGATACCCCGTAATAGTAGGAGTTGAGGACCCAGTGTACCTCCAATAATAGGACTTGAGGACCCAAGGGTGCTCCCAATATGAGGACTTGAAGACCCAAGGGTAGCCCCCAATAGTAGGACATGAAGAGCCAAGGGTTCCTCGAATAGTAGGACTTGAGGAGCCAGGCTACCCAACTCCCTCCGCCCCCCACCAATAGAAGGACTTGAGTGCTCAAGGGCCCCTAATAGTAGTACTTCATGAACCAAGGGTATTACCCAATGACAGAACCCGGGAGTGACTGAACTCTGAGAGTTATCGAACCCAGAAACGACAGATCCGGGAATGCAGAGCCCAGGAAGTTTGGTGTCGAAGCATGTCTGTTCAGGACCCATAGGTTGTCCGAAAGACAGCCGTCGAGAGCTCACGGGCACCCTCAAAAAATAGTCCCTGACATCTCACGGATGTTCCATACAATATGTGTTCAGGACCATCAGATACACTCTCCTTCCTTCATACGTAGCTTTTGACGGTCTGTGAGTACCCCATATAATGTTCTTAGGACTCTCCTCCTTATTGTCGTGTATGCAGTATACGAATAAAAATATGTATATACACACTTTAATCTACAGCCACTTCTATGGTTGGTAAAAATCTCAAACCCAAATCCAAATCTCAAAATAAACAAATCCAAGAACCAAATCCAAATCCTATCCACAAACCCAAATCCAAACCCAAACCTTATGCCCCAAATCCAAACCAAATCCAAATCTTATACTCCAAATCCGAATCCCAAGTACTCGGACATAGGCACAATCCTTAGTCCAAAGTCAAAACCGAATCCAAATCCAAAGTATTTGGTCCCAAATCCCAAATCTATACAAGATTTTTTGCACCCCTACCGTGAAGCATGACTTATCATACTGTTGGTGTTTGTTGAAGAGGTGGATCCATTTGTTGAAATTGTTGGTGACGATGAGCAAGATGAAGATGAAGAAAAAGTTGTTTGATTTTGAGAAAGATTAATCTTTTTCTTTTTCTTTTTCCGTTTAACTAATGTAAAACAATTGTAATTTTCACTTTCCATTGGTGTAACATTTTGATTATCATGACGTTGTTGATAATTCATTTATAGCTAACTCATATTTCTTTTTGAGTTATGAAGATCATTAGATATCGCTGTACGTTGATGATATGGATGAAGGTTCAATGGTGGGTGATGACGGCAGTTGGTGGGATGACATGGATGATTGAACATTGATAGGAAGTGAAGATGTTATTGATATTCGATGAACTAGACTGACTTGTAGTGGCATTGGCAGTAGGAACAGGAATACAATGTGATACTAATAGCGGTTTGTTGGTACAAGCATAAAAATGTGTAGTTGATAGGCTAGGTGAACCTTGATCTTGAACATTTCTGTTGTTTGTGTTGTTGAGATGTCAGATGGTCGACCAAGTGGGATGAACTTACATTAAGCCTGTTGTCTAGCATGCCTGTAGGGCCGTGGAAGATTTTAATTTAACGACCAAAACGAAAAATATATATTTATAATAAGTTAAACGATGATTCACATAGTACTGGATATATATATATATATATATGTATATGATAGCTATTGGAAGACATAGAACACGTCTTATCTGTAGAAGTAAATATAACGAATGATATCTCGAGTAATCTATCATGTTTTTATTTAGTATTCGATCTTCCGAATACTATTCAACAAATTCCATCGACCTTTTAATGTTGAATAAAAAATTATCGAAACTCTAAAAGGAGAATGTGTTGAAATTAGTTGATTTAATTACGTTGCTGGGGGCAGAATAAAACTAAAATTAGCCGTAAACAACGAGGAACATTACATAAAATTAGTTTAACTGAAAAATGGCGAACAAACATCATGAACATACTAATCACTAGCCACAAACCAAAATACATCCTTTACTGCTTTGCACTCATCACCCGTTACGTTCCACGAGATATGAATAATGAATTTATAAAAGAAATGACAAGATCAATTGATGTGGGAAAAACTGAAAACAAATTCAATATGGATATACGCGAAAATCTTTTCTGACTAGAATATAGTGCTATGTATAGGGCATGTATCGACCGGCGATGTTATATTACCAATCACAGTGTTCCTTAAGGCAAAAAGAATAACATATTGCACCAATGTTGGTGAAGCGGGTACATATGAGACAAATGTCAAACGCCAGCTGCCCGTTGTTGAGTATGTCTTCAAGAAATTGGTGAAAAACAATCCCACAATTGTTCTAATCAACCAAGATGCTCAAAATGTGATGGAAATTATCACTCATTTGGTAGCTAATGTCAAAGAATTAAAATATATAAGGATAGCTGAAGGAAGAAGTCGGCAATGCGCTTTCGAGCGGTCTACTACATCAATTAGATGCTCAGAAGCATCGACCAAAGCTTAATCTAGAGGATTTGCCAGCGTTAACAAGTAGAAGTACTAGTATTATATCTGTTTGGGATACTAAGTAGACACCGAGGCAGCAAGTGATAATTGAATCAGCTGACATTGCAAATGATCATACAACACTTACTAAACAACTAAATATCATGACGAGCAATAATTTTAGATTGAAAAGCTGTTAGCGCAATCTCTTGTGGGATTAAAAGTGTGAAACATGATGCAACTGCTGTTTCTAATTCAATGGGCGTCGTATCGTTCCATCCTTTACGATATTCTTGTTGCCAACCGTTTATCTCATGCTTTAGAAAAACAGCTTCTCTGTCATAGTCTGTAACCCTCTCTGATGTGTTTCTATCACAGTCTATGATGCTCTGATGTTTCTCTGTCACAATCTGTGATGGGTTCGGAGCTTCTCTATCACAGTCTTTGAGGGGGGGGGGAGACCGGGAAGATGAGTGCAAATTCCTACTCTTATACATTTCAACACTTCTTTCAGTTCGTGTTTCACAAAAGAAGCTCGAAGAAACAAATGTTCAATTTAATTATCTAGAAGGAGTTCCGAAATCGTTCACAAAGTCTATGAAAAATACACTTCAACCTCTAAAAAATGTTCTGGAAAAAATATTTTA